AGTTTTACCCATTTAGTTTTCAACAGCTTCCAATCAACCTACGCAGCACAAAAAAGCCACTTCACAGTACAATAAGAAAGTCCATTATATTGAGGAAGTTGACAGATTTGTCTATACCAGGAAAAAAAACCAAAACATGCTGACAGAGTCAAAGAGAGAAAACTCAGCTTAGTTTAATTTAAGCCCCTTTTAAATAGTAACTGCATACAATGCAGCATCTTCTACAGAGTCTTCTAAACAAATGCAGGGAAAATCCACTGTCATAAAGTTTTCTGTTAGGGGAAAAAAAAAAATAATAATCCTCAAATGCTGCTATCATTTTAAGCTCCCCCTGAAGAAAATAGTCTCCAAACAAATAATACCAACAAAGACACGACTTTTATTTCTCCATTGGAATTCAACTCCTTGTTAGCTACGACTATGGAAGAAAAATTCTCATATTAGCAGTCTTTTAAAGAAACCCCATCTACATATATCAATCAGTATGGCTTTGGGGATGCACACGCAGATCTACCCGTGGTCAGGGAGGGTAAAGGAGCAGATAAAAATTCTCCAAGCAGATCTGGCTTCAATATAAAAGCAAGGCTTCTGTGGGCTAACCCTCCAAAAACCTCCCTGACCTCCCTACTGAGCAGCCATCCATGCGGGGGTCCCAGCACCACCGAGGGGTCACTGCGAGGCTGGGAGCGTGCAGCTGGTGATGGATGGGGGCTGCTTAAATTGGTGCTGTCACCAAAGGAAACATTCATCAACCTGCAGCCAAAATTATCCTACTATTTGAAAAGCTGGTTTTCCTTCAGATTTGTTTCCGCACCAAAGATGCAGAGCGAGCAAGAGGCCCATACTCTGAGAACCTGATTTCCATCCAGCTCCTTACTCTACACATCGTGAGAGCCAGGTGCCTCGAGAAAGCAGTTCAACCAAATCTAAGCCTAGCTAAGAGCAGGGCTTACACACAAGTGACAGATTGGGCTGGATTTTAAAGCCCACGAATGGGGCCTATTAAGGAACAGCAGGAGCACAACCCACCCTTGAGAATGGCAGTCCTTGCCTCCTTCCCTTATCCCCAGGGCTCTGACAAGACATTTTCAACTCCTATTTGCACCTTTAGTAAAGCCAAAGGCTTGCTTAAATCCACGATAAAAATCTCAGGGCTTGTTTAACCTCATTGCTAGCCCAAGGTTGAATTTCTTCCAGTGCACCTCCATGTTAATACTGCTCTAATTTCAAGCTGTCTGGATCGTGACTCGAAGCTAGGAGTAGGGTTGTAAGAGCTCATCAACTACTAATCCAATTGTTCTATACATCTCAAAGATTATTTTCCGGTTTACTAACCTGAGCTACTTGCTGCAATAATCCTTTATCTATAGCGAAATCACTAGGCAGATCAAGGCGTGCAGCGTTAAGTCTGGATCTGGCAATGTGCAGCGTATCAGTAGCTAATCGCTCCAGTATTTGTTGTGCTTCTCCGCTAGGTTTTACAGCCTGCATCAAACTCCAGCTGCCAGTAAAACCAGCTTTTTTTTTTTTTTTTTTTTTAAGCTTAAACTGGGTAATTTAAAGCTTGCTCGAGTATGGCAACACTGCGCTGCAGTGAGGATACACAGACATATTAAGCTCCCTGTGAAAACAGAGCATTTAGTATTTTTATTTCAGCTGGTCAAGTTCAACAGCAACAGGGAGCCCAGCATTTACCTGGCACTGGGCTCAGACTAGAAGTCAGCTATGCGGGGCAAATGATAAGATGGAAAAAATTAACAGGCGAGGTCTTTACCTTGTCTTAAATACATTTGGGGATTTCCCTTTCCTGCCAGAATCTTCTACTGGCTCTGCCTTGCAGCTCCCTTTGGGGTCAGCCCCTGCCCACACTTACCTGGGGAGGTTCAGGGACATGCTGTGTGGGACCCCAAACTGCATTAAGCATTTGTCTCCCCAGCCCACAAAATGACAACGATGGCTCCAAAATGAAAGGACAAGAATAAAACTGTACAAGCCTCTGCCTGCGCTCCCATCTTTTATGAAAAAAGGCAAACGCTACTTAACAACAAAAATGCATGACATAGATTGTTAGTGGTTATCTGGTAAGTACAGAAACCTAACCAAAGGCTTTCAACAAGCTTTGTTCGGGCATTTTTCTGTGCTACCTACATCACTTATTTCTACCCAAAATGTACCTTAAAACAAAAGAAAATCAAGCATGATACTGAACGGGGCTCGCGAGTCAAAAGCAGAAATCAGAAATATTTACTGCCTCGATCTGCACTGAAATAAGAAAGCCAACCAAAAAAACCCCAAACAAATAAATAAATAGGAAAAGAAAAAAAAAAAAAACCAACCTCAAAGCGTATCACGAGAACGGGATCAGACAAGAAAGCGAGGCCACCCCTTCAGGACCAGGGGAGAATTAACCTGCATTTCTCCATCCCATTTGCAAGCTTACGACTCTGCCACCCATTTTGTTTCAGAGTTTAAAAAAAAAAAAAAAAAAAAAAAAAAAAAAAAAAATTAAAAAA